ACAAAGTGCAAGGCATCACTGTTGATAGGGCTGTAGTTTGTTTGAAAAACGTGTTTTCTGCAGGACAGGCATATGTGGCCTTAAGCCGTGTTAGAAGTCTGTCAGGTTTGGTCATTCAGGATTTTGAACAGAATACTATATACTGTAGGGATGATGTGAAGGATGCCATTGAGAGTATGCCACCATTTTTGAATGACAGCAGAAAATTCAGTAAACAGGGTTTTACTGTGTTTTTGATGAATGTGCAAAACCTATCTGCGCATGCAGCAGATTTGGCATTGTGCACACAGCATTTACAGCTTAACTGTATTGCTGTAACGGAGACATGGCTGCCTTCTGAGTCTTCATTTGATGCAGTAAACATTGATGGTTACAGTTTCCATAACAGTCCTCGATGTTTAACATATACAAGCAACAGCCCAGCACTCATGGCATTGCAGAGCCAACAACATGGTGGAGTTGAGATGTATAGTGTAGAAAGTGAAGCATATGACATCATACAAGTACCACATCCAAATTTGGAATGCATGGTCTGTAAGTATGTCATGTATAACATACTGGTAGCAGTCATTTATCGACCACCGTCCTATCCCATGTCCTTGTTTAAGGAGCATCATGGCAAGTTACTCGATTGGTTAGATCCACTGAGTAACACAATTGTCATCATGGGAGATTTAAATGATGACATTTTGAAGTCATCAACAATCTGTTCATTTGTAACAGATAAAGGGTATGTGCAAGTTGTGATGCAGCCCACAACAGAGAGTGGCACACTAACTGACCACGTGTATGTGAAAACATCACAGCATGAAGTGGAGTCAATTGTGTGGCCAACATATTTTAGTGACCACGAGGGTATTGTTTGTGTTTTTAAATGAAAAGGCAAAGTGGCATTTGACCTTTTCATTTTTGTAGTGTGTAGAGCATTGTAAAAGGGTTTGTTGTGTAGGTATTTGTAGTTGAATAGCTGTATCATGTTAAGTTAATAGGAAATGGGTTTCGTTTACTGCATTACAACAGCATTTACAAATATTAAAGGAAAGACATCATTAGCAATAATTGACCACAGGTGTCATCAATAATGACCCTACATTTATTGGCAAAATCCTTTGTAACCTATGTCCTTGGACACATGTAGTATGTAAAGTAAACTTTATGTCACACGGGATTACCCAGTGTAAAATGTAAAAATGTAATGTAAAAGCAGTCACCCATATGCTGTTGTGATGCAGGTTTTGCTTTGCCTTCCATGTAGTGTCAAAAAGCAAAAGGCACTGGTACTGGTACTCCTGGTTTACCAGGACGGGGTTCGATTCCTTGCGGTGCCCTGCTTGTTTTGGCGTAAACATGAAAGTTGCTGTAATTTGGTATGAACTACTTTGCATAAGTAACAATGAATAGCTTCATAACAGTAGCACAACATCCAAGTGAAAAGCATGCGAGTATTATTCGTAAATGTTGTAATGCTTATCAATGATGTAATGTTTTTAAATGCTATGTTATTTTTACATGCTGTAAAGCACTTTGTGTTGCTGTAGTACATGAAAGGTGCTATATCAATAAGATTTGATTTAATTTGATTTGAGTATGTGACTGTATGTAACATAATGTGTCCTCTTTCCAGTTTGTGGTAATATGAGTGACTGACAGAGATGGCAAAAGTACTCACATTCTTTACTTAAGTAGAGATACTTGTGTAAAAATAGAGTCAGGTAAAAGTAAAAGTACTTACTCAACTCCTTTACGTAAGTAAAAGTACAAAAGTACAGGTTCAGAAATGTACTGCAGTACAAAAGTAAAGATTAGCAATTACGTTTTAGCTTCAATGATATGCAATACCTCCTTTGATAAATAAATGCGGGTTGGCTGAGGCTCAGAGCACGGCTGTAAAATTTCAGGCCAATCAAAGCACACACAGGCCAGTTACACAGCACGTCTCGTATTCTGGTGTTTTATGGCGTTGTGGCCGAATTCAGGGGGGCGCCATTTCCACGTCGTCAGACTTGTGCGGACCATTTTACTAACGTTTAATCACCACCTCCTGTAGTTTGTGCTGGCCAAATTTCAAGTGTGTACGACCTTCCCTGTAGGAGGAGATAGATTGTGAAAATGGCCAAAAATGTCCAGAAGTCACCCACAATCGCCAAAATTGTCACTGTGTTTTTTTCAAAATGGCGGACTTCCTGTTGGGTTTAGGACTTGGTGCTGATTGACTTTTTTGTGCGTCCTGACCTGCTACACATGCCCAGCGAATCTTGTCAGTGTAGGTGAAATGACCTTCCGACAATATTCAGTTGAATGCAAAAAACAACGCGAAAATGGACAAAATGGCCATTGATCAAAATTGGACGGGCCACCGTTTCCAAATCGGGCTTCATCTGCGGAGCGTTTGAAGAACTTTTAATCACCACGTCATGTAGTTTGTGTAATAATAATAATAATAACAATCACAAGGGTTACAATAGGGTCCTTGCACTGGTGTGCTCGGACCCTAAAAATAAAGGGCAAACCTGTTTTGCTCTATAAAATGTGGGCCTCTATACTTGGACTATTTCGGTGATTATAGGACCCATAGAGACAGATTCCCAGACTAGAGAATTTCACCTAAAAACAAAACAAAATCCCTCCTAGACTTGCAATAATCTTTATTTGCCTTAAGTGTGGTTGGATCAGTTGTAGATCCTATTTTCAGGAAGTGTATGTGTGTGTATGTATATAAACTGGTGTCTTCCAGAGATTTACATTACATCAAAAATCCTTTCTTCACCTCCAATTTCTAATTTTTTCCTCCAATTTTTACAAAACACATAAAAAAATATACATCAACACTAATTGCAGATCATAAGTAAACCTTTGTCAGTTATGAAGTTACACCAAAAGCATTTATATCATAAATCATAGTCGGCACCCAACGGTAGAGAGAGAGAGAAGATGCACAAATATGTCAGTGTGGCAAAAGACTTTATTGCATACATGTCGAGCACACAAACGCCCATGTGTCCTTCTACTGCAGCACAGCTTCAATGAACAGACTATTAAATAGTCTTCAGCAGTTAAAACACACAAAAAAATCCTTGATCATGTTCTCGAGAACCGATAAAAAACAAACAATAAAGCCTGGATGTTTGTAGTAGACAGACAGAGAAAGAAATCATTTGTAGGCGTTGGCTTTATGTTTGGGCAAAAAGTTGAAATTCTTCGGTACAGGTCCGAGCAGCATTTCGCTGGAGAGGGAAGAATACCACGGAAGACGTTAGAATCACATGAATCTATCTCGTAACAGTGCAGCTTTATTTTGAAGGGTGATCTTGCGAGTTGAGACGGTTTGCTGCTCACCTGATCCTAACCCAGTCCCCAACGTTCTGACTGGCCATCAGTGACTCCAGATAGTTCCTGCCCATGTAGTACGGAGGTCTCTCATTGATCTTCTGAGGCACTCGCTCCAACAGGCCCACGGGAATATATCTAAGAGAGAGACGGACGAAGGAAGGAAGGCAATGGTTAATTTCACTCCAGCCTACTTTTTAGCAAGTATTCCATGTAGATGTCAGATTCTGTTTGATGGCTTTGTCGCCGTTTTTTAAAAGACATCACTCCTTCTGGCCTAAATTACTGAGTGGAGCTGGAATCCAGGACATATAGATACGTTTTCAGTTACACTGAGGCTATTTAAAGCCAATAATTATTTGTCAAATGCGCATTTAAAGCTACCAGTAGTCCCCACAGGCTCACAAACCGATGGCATTCCCCAAAAGAGCACAACAAACACTGGGTTTATTCTCTATTAAAAATATAATACATTACTTTTACATTTTTGCAGCAGAACAAAAACAAAATACACCACCTGCACATGAAGGAGAGCCACTCCAGCATGAAGGTGCGCGTCTTCTCCACGCCTCGAGTGTCGGAGCCCCAGTGCTCCAGGCCAAAGTTGGTGAAGTCCTTGAGGACCTCCAGTCGCTCACTGGACGAGATGTCCCAGTGTCGGTTCTCCTTGATCTCAGTGAAGATCCACGGCTTAATGAGAGCACCCCTGAACAACAACAAAAAAATAGTCAAATGTCGGATTTCATATTTTTACTCTTGTTTTAAATTCAAGCTCAAGGCAAAGAAAGACGGCAGCATAGAACAGAGGAGCTCCTCTGGTCAGGATTCTGTGTGTGTAGAATATCCTAGTGACAGTAGTTGAGAAAGCACAAATGATGGAATGGGAGGTAGACAAAACAGAAACACCACAGAAGACCACCTACGTCACAGTTGTACATGTTGGCGTTAAGGTGACTGACAATTCCCTCGTATGAGTTTCAAAACTATCCATAATGAGTCTGTGGCCTCGTTTACACATAACCGGGTATAATCCCATGTTTACTTCCGTAAACACTGAGCACGCTCGCTGCGTGTGACGTCATCGTGTCCTCTTCTGTGCATGCGGGACACTTTTGGGTCGTATGAAGTTCACACAGCAGATCACATACAAGTCGCATTTAATTGGAAACGTGAACAAACTCACAATGAATCAGATTTCACAAAAAAATCCGAATTAAGCATTAAGTCCTGCAGTGTGAACGTAGCCAATCTGTGGGATTGTTCAGTCAGATAATCCCTTGTTATCCTTATTTGTGACATAAAATGTCATGTTGGAGTCAGAATCCAAGGCTGTCGGTATGTTAAGGCTGTTTTTATGGGTTCCGTTTGTTTTTCCTAAAAACCTGTCGGATAGCAGGTTTTGGATCGTTAAGGGTCACGACTGTACTTCCTGTTACTTCAATGGGGCGAGGGTCGTTTGTTTGGATCGACAGAGAAGTGGAGCTGCTCCTGAATGTGGTGTTAAGAGTACAAAACAAGTAAAACAGCGTCCATTTCTATCGCAGCAGCTAAACTGGTCGCACACATGTGACGCTGATGACGCTTTTGTTGCATACTATGACGTCAGACTCCGTCTCCTCCCGCCTACATGCAAACGTAAAGACGGAGTTTTTCCAAATCTCCACTTTGGCAGGAGTTTTCAGATGTGACCGTTTTCGGTGACTCGTAGCTTCGTTTGCATGTAAACCAAAGGCCCATTGAAATATCACCGTTTTTGCTACGTGTAAACGGGGTAAACTCAGTTTCATAACTTCACTCATTAAATCTGCATCTAAGTGAATGGATATATGTCTAACTGCACTGGGACACAGTGTAATTTGTTTGCAAACTGGAGCTTTTGTCTCTGTTGTTACTGAAAAAGACAAAAGGCTAAACCTGGCTGTATCAATGCCAAATATTTACTTGGTTTGTAAGACTTTTCTGTAATCATGTAAAGTGATTCCAACCTGGCAATCATGATACCAGACACTCCGGTCTCTCTCGCTTTCATTGCATCTTCATAGGACAGAATGTCTCCGTTACCTGGAACAGTAAAAACAAGCCGCTTTAGTTCATCACATCAAGAACCAAAACTTATTGTGCAACCTTGAGATAGCCAAATTAAATACTTTGGAGTTCTTTACATGTTGGAAGAGGTTCTTTTTCTTGCACTTTGCCACTTTATTAATTTGCTTTAGATGCAGTCTTTACAAATCCACGTACCAAAAAGTGGGACAGGGCTGGCCAGCTTAGCACACGTGGTGATGTAGTCCCAGTCGGCTAGCTTTGTGTAGCGCTGCTCCCTCGATCTGCCGTGCAACTGTGAGAAACTGATCGCGTCAGTGGTTTGGCATCGCTTGAAGCTGAGTCCCGTTTATACGCAGATATGAACACACAAAGAACTGAAAAAAATGTGCTTGTAAAAACATCACAACATAACAAAGGGTGTGTTTAATAAGAGCCAAACATCGTAAAATAGGACCACGTTAAACGTGTCAACACTTTTTACAGGTTAAATTTAAAATGTCATCACATTCTGATTATTATTAGATGAGTCACTGGGTTTGTAAGTGTTTCTGTAACTCTGAGTCTGTAAGTTAGGTGCGATTTCCCTTGTTTTCATGTTTTACAAGTCTCTTGTCATGACTGTTAAATATGATTTCTAACAGTCGGTGCTTCTTCACACTGCTCACACCCACCTCTCCTTTATTTGTGCTGCTATTAACAAAAGACTTACTGTGATCATGGAGACACCCCAATCCTTCATCTCAGGGATCAGTTTGTGTGCTATGTTGGACTTCTCCTGAACACCAGTGCGGATCTTCACCGTTAAAGGGACATCGAGGACCTAACAGGGTGAAAAGCTCATGGTTTCACTCAGGCTTCAACTTAAGTGTCTGTGTGTGTGTGTGTGTGTGTAATCCAAGTCAAAGAAATGTGATTGCTTCCATAGAGCTATATTTGCAATTTGGTTATTTCATTTTCTCCACACAGTAACAAAACTCTCTAACAGCGTGATTAGGTTCATTTTGTCTACTCTGATTTTCGGTGTAAGGTTTCTTTTTTTTGTCAGACAATGAGTATATTTTTTTAGCTAGGAGCAGTTTTTACTTTGACACGTTTCGACTGTCACTTCAGTCTTCCTCAGAAACGCCATCTGACGTCTGTCGTGCTGTAACTCCAGGAAACCACCAGCTGATAAAGACACGACGGACGTCAGATGACGTTTCTGAGGAAGACTGAAATGACAGTCGAAACATTTATCCATCATCTACACACCGCTTAATCCTCATTAGGGTCGTGGGGGGCTGGAGTCTATCCCAGCTGACTCAGGGTGAAGGCAGGGGACCCCCTGGACAGGTCACCAGTCTATCACAGGGCTACACTTAGAGACAGACAACCAAGCACACTCACATTCACACCTACGGACAATTTAGAATCACCAATTAACCTCAACATGTCTCTGGACTGTGGGAGGAAGCCGGAGAACCCGGAGAGAACCCACGCTGCACGGGGAGAACATGGAGACTCTACGCAGAAAGATCCCAGTGCCCCCACCGGGACGCGAACTGGCAACCTTCCAGCTGCGAGGCAACGGTGCTAACCACCTTGCAGTCGAAACATGTCAAGGTAAAAACAGCTCCTATCTGAAAAAAAAAACACTCATTGTCTGACAGGAAAAGAAACTTTATAACCAAACTCCCCTTGAACAGTCAATAACAAAAGATTGCTTTCACTGAGAAAACTATAAATGATGCCTTAATCTGAATCTGAAACTTACATTTCTGTAAAAACACATACTTACATAGTTCATTCCTTTGACTATCTGTTCAAACTTTCTGGTGCGCGTCATCAAGCCGCAGCCTCCGCCCTGATGAGGGAAAGCAAATAAAGGCCATCTGTTAAAGACATACTGCTGTTTAACACCACCGGCTAAATGCTGGTGTCTGTCTCACGCTGTTTTATAAAACAGAAAGTGCAGCAGACTGTAAAAACCTCACTCATCATAACATGTTGTTCACCTTAAACGACCTCCCTTATTTACCTGCACTGATTTATGTCTTTGACGTCATCCCAGGTTCTTAAAACTTCTATTTCAGGTGTAAAAAATAAACACTTAAATGGGAGATGATTTCAAAATGTAAAGGTAGTTGGTAATGTAGCTACAAAGTACTTTATTTACTGATTGAGTTTGTGTTGACTTTGTGCTTCATGCTTCCTTTCAATAACACAATTGTTGGCCTCCTGGTCACAGTGAACCAAACCAAAATACAAGCCTCAAGAGTAGAAATGGATAGAAGCAAACAAGAAAAAAAAAAAAGCCTGAAAAGGGCACCCTGGTTAGGTAAGTGTACCTTCTTGTAAACAAGATCGATGGGGCATCCGGAGTTGATGTCCACAAAGTCAACATCTGTGTTGTTGTTGATGAGTTCTGCACATCTGGTCATGGTGTCGGGGAAACAGCCTTCCACCTGGAGACACAATTCAGACTTAAAAATTAAGGCCATCTTTACTTTGACGCAAAACCTTAAGCTCACAGAAAAGAAAGACGTTAACAAAACCTACAGGATGTGTTTACAATGTCACATAGCAAGACTTCTGAATAATTTAAATCTAAGATGTCATCACCTGGACACCAAATATGTCTTCACTTTCGTGCCTCTTCAGCAGAGCCCACTCCGACTGCTGACCCTGCAGCAGATTCGTGCACATGGCCATCTCTCCACAGGTGATGTCTGCACCGAAGCGCTTGCACACACGACGGAAAGGCAGATTTCCACACTGACGAAATAAAGACAAAACATTCAGTGAAGGTCAAACCTCATTGTAAGCCAGCATACAATTTCACCAGCTATGTAACTGGCTCATCAAAGAATATTTAAACTATTTTAATATTTAGCTACATCAGAACACATCTACTAATACGTTCAGTCCAGTAGTACTTACAGTTGTTAGAGGAGCGAGGTAGAGCTTGTCTGTGAAGTCCACCTGGAACAAAAGAGACGCCTTGTTAGACAGGAACTGGCAGTGATTAAATTCATGTAAATATATCAGTAATGGATGACTTCTAATTATTTGACTATTATATTATATATTGATTATTTATTTATCCTGTCAAAGGATTGTGATGTTTTTCTTGCTTTTGGATTTTGGATTAAAGACTTTACCTGCTTCTTTTCACATGAGCGCAACTTGATGACGTCTGCATCAGTCAGCGGGCCAACAGTCTTCACCAGAGGCTGTTTATCTGGGCTGGCCTGCAGCTGGTGGCAAAGAAAACAAGTAGAAACACCAGCAGCACACCATACAACATACTACATGTGCCCTCTACAGTCCAGCGATAGAGTGGGCAGTAAGAGGCAGAGGACAAGGCTGTACCTCTGCTCCAGTTGATGCATGTTGCTTCTCTCCAGCTGGATCTGCAGGTACTTCAGCAGCACAAGCGTTACCTGGGTGAGATTAAAGACCACATTACATCACCTCATTTAAATCGGATTCAAAATCTAGTTTTATACATCGATGCTTTGATCAAATGTCTCTGTGTCTGATGAAAATAAATAATTGGAAACTGTGTACTGCACTCACAAAGTAATGAGTTATTGAGTGCATTTGTCTTCTCAACATTAGCTGATTAAATCAAACATCACATCAATGCAAGACAAACAGGCGATTAACTCTTGAAGAGACTCTACACATCAAAAACTGTTTACAGGTCCAGTGGAGTATGGATGCATTTCTAAACAATGTGGAAAGCCTTTGTGGCTCCAGAGGAAGCTGATTAAATCTGATCAACGGCATCGAATCAAGTCATTTTTGGCTCAAGCTTACATAGCTGCTGCTTTAACAACACACCTGAATTGTTGATAAAACTATTTGCAGTCATTGTGGGTAATGTAGGAAGCAGGTTTTCATCATGAAGAAGTGGAGTAAAAAAGATGATGGAGTACTCTTTAACTTTCAAACAGGACCAACAGATTCATGCTTAAGAGAAAGCCAGTCAGTAAACACTAACAATAGCAGGGTTGTGTTGACAGCATTCTTTAAAAAAAAGTAAAATCAATCCATCCAAACCATCACTTCTCTCACCGTTCCCTTGCTGTTCTCTCTTGTCTTTGTAATTTGCCAGTGTTTTCAGGTAATCTGCCGACTTCTTGAAGGCCACCGAGCGCTTCCTCAGACGATTCTGGAGGTCTTTGCTCAAGCTGTTCTTCACCACGACCCTGCCTTCATAAGCTTTAATCACATCTGCCTTCTCCATGGTTTTGAAGTCAGGCGTAGTGTGCGCCTTGGCATAGCGGCAGGCGAGACCGTACGTGCACTTTCCGAATGTTTCATAGAGGTAGCAGCTTTCCCCGATGTCAGCGGGCTTTGAGGCCAAGTAGTCTGCAACGTTGTGGTGAAAATGGCATTTGTCTCCAAAGGGGCATTCCCTGTTCTGCGTGGATGGGAAAATCAGAACAATAATTATCAGTGGACAGCGATCAAAAACTACTACACGAGGTATTTGTGAAGAGCCAGAGTGAGCTTCACACCTGGATGACTGAGAGACACAGTCGTTTCTCATCATAGGTGGTCGGCTTAATGTGCGGTCTCGACTTGTTCTGTCCCCGAAGCCGTTTGCTGTCTGGTTTCCCTGCACTGTTTCTATCGTCAGAGTCCAGTTTGAGCTTTTTGGGTTCGGGTTCCTCATCAGATGCTTTTGGCTCATCAGCGGTGTCATTTTCACCTCCTTTGGAGCCCTGCCACTCTGAGTCTACAAACCTGTGAAATTTGTCTTTGGTGGTAAGAAATCTGCAAAGACAAGAAAGAAAAAAAAAAAGAAAAGAAAAGATTTAATCATCCTGCGGTTTAGGGTGATGTTCAACACGATAACACGATACTTGGAAACAGTAGACGTGTCCATAAGCATGAACTGTACTCATATTGGAAAACAAAGTTTACTTAACAGACACTAATGTTTCACAACACATAGGGGCAATGGAGGAGCTTGTTAATGCAAGCAAAAATCCTAAAAAATTAGTAAATCTCAAAAAATTGTTAAGAAAAAAAAGTTCTAGACTGGGCTGCAAGGTGGTTAGCACCGTCGTCTCGCAGTTAGAAGGTCACCAGTTTCTATCTTGGTGAGGACACCCGGGATCTTTGTGCGAGGAGTCTCCATGTTCTCCCTGTGCAGTGTGGGTTCTCTCCAGGTTCACCCACATGGTCAAGAAACATGTTGAGGTTAATTGGTGATTCTAAATTGTCCGTAGGTGTGAATGTGAGTGTGCTTGGTTGTCTGTCTCTAAGTGTAGCCCTGTGATAGACTGGTGACCTGTAGGTCAGCTGGGATACCTAGTGAGGATTAAGCGGTGTATAGATGTTGGATGGATGGATGGAAGTTCTAGACCTTTGGAAAGCCAGTTTCCCTTCTCTGTATTAAGGGAAATTAATGTGACACTACAATCTCTTCTTATTAGAAATGGAAAGGCACTGTGTATAACTCCTACACACTGACTGTATAGACTGTATACAAAGACAACGCGCACTTTGTACACAACATTCAATCAATATATAGCACGGAGATGGTCAAGACACAACATGTGTGCGGATCATTTTGCAAAGCAGTGCAACATCAGCACCTTGAGTTTTATTTCATTTCATACAGCTTTCGTGCAACTACGGTGTAATTTAGACATCTTACTTAATGTGTCGCTGTTCTTCTGCTGTACCAGTCAATTAATTCGTCATTTCTCTCACTATAGATCTTTATTGCCTCATAAATTACGTCTTTTACGGTAAAGCTGCTGGAGTGACTACTGACAAAGCCTAGCTTGTCCCTGTAACACAGAACCAAGGTTAAACCCACATTCAATGCCACGAGTCAAGCTCCTTCAATAGCCTTTCTGCTGACAGTGTGGTTCTGTTGGCTTCATCAGACAAAGCAGCAGGCAGCGTGAAATGTGGGGGTGGTGCAGCGCCTCCACGTTTAAGTCATTGTAGTCTGTTGGAATAACATGGAGAGCTCTCTTTGTTTAGGAGCCCAAATGGCCAGCTTACCTTTTGCATAAACGTGATGAGGGTGCTCAGTCAGATGCAAAGACGTGTTGGGTTGCTAATAGATTAACAGGAAGGAGTGTATGTCTGAAAGGGGCCGTTGATGAAGCCTGCCATGCTGTGCATTTCATGTCTGAAAAGCTCTTTAATAGCTCAGGCCTAGTAACAAGAAACTCTTTGTCAACTACCAATCCTCCTGTTGTCTGCATGTGTTTAATAAATAAGGGAAATAGCCTTGAACAGCTGAAAGCAACAAACTGAACTGCCATTCTGTGTGTGACAGCTCATCGGTCTGATATGTAGACGAGTAGGGCTACACACTGTGACTAGCCATTGCACTCCGTTCATCGTGCTTCCTCTGAGATAACTATAAGAATTTAATAAGTTACCTGCGTTGTAATTGTTTTACTTTGACAGATGCGTGCAACTCTCTATTTCTTTGGAGACCCTCATATGGATCCTGCTGCTGTCTGACGCTGCAGACATTTACTAAACTCAGAGGAAGTCGTCTTAAACAGCTGGAAAGACAAAACTTCAGCTTTTGTTAGTGTCATGTGTAGGAAAACAAATCAGCCCCAGATAACATCCTCACATACATGTAACCAACACATATCTACTACTGACTACAAACAGACTGTCTTTGGTGTATTCAGCAGGTTATATCCGTAGACAGTCTCCTATACCTCCTACTGTTCTCATTTTTCATGTCATCACCTCTTTGTCCGCCACATCCCTCAGTCTCCTCATCATTTGCCATTGTGTTCATGCACACCACCGTATACAACTAACTGCTGTATAGACATACTGTCCCAGTCTCACACTTCCTCTCTGCATAAAATATATTTGTTTTTTTAAATTTAAACTTTATTTGTGTAGCACCTTTAAGAACAGGATTCACAATATGCTTTTACATCATAAAGAAATCCAACACACAGTGAGACAAGGCGGCACAGGACAACAATGCGTATAAAAAGTGCAGGAGAACACTCAAAATATAAAAATACACACAATAAAAATGGAAAAAAGAACAGGTTGGGTCATTATTGGAAGGTTTATTATAATAAAACTAGGACAACTGATTGAAAAGACATCACAGAGGGGAATTAAGATAAAAGCTGAAGATAAAAGTAGATTAATAAAGAGAAAAGAGAGAAGGACAGCAGGCGGTACCGATTTAAAAAGGGAAAAGAAAATCTAAAAGAGAACATCACTCAAATGCGAGTCGATAAAAGTGGGTTTTAAGCAGTGATTTAAAAGAACTGAATCTGCAAGCCTTGTTTCCTCAGGTAGGTCGTCCCACAAGCTGAGGGGCCCTCACAGAATAGAACCGATTACTTATCAAAATAGTTGGTGTTTGATTTATTAGTTGACAACTAATTGATTAATTGCTGCACCTCTGTCTTGGAGCTTGCGAACAAAAGGGAGACTAAAATGAATTATCGTCTGCCACAAACGGCTGGTTACTCACTGTGGTTTGATTGCGGCTTCACCCTTCACTGCCACATCTGTCCTTTTTTCAGCAGTTTCTTCTGCTGCTGTCTCCATCACAGCTTCAGACGTTTCTCAAAGTTGTTTCCTGAAAGATTTTAACACAAAAATTTTGAATCAAACTGCAGCATACAGGGCCAGTGATCATTTTCTCATCCTGTGCTATGATTGAAATCACAATGTGAGAAGTGTTCAAGGTGTTCAAGGCTACTGTTTTAGACAAAGGCAAGGATCTATTCATCTGTCATTACAGTCCTGCCTTAAACCTCTATTTTATTGTGTTCTGGGACTTCATATATCAACTTTTTCTTCTAACTAGCACTAGTGTCCCTTGTGAACTATGTAAAGAATCAGTTTCCAAGATTACTACTGAATACATTATTAACACAATTTAAAATCAATGTTATTAACCTAGAAGATAAACCCTTATCACATGAGCTTGTAGCCAAAACTGGCAACCCTGCTCTAGCTTAAATTAATTTTATTACATGGCACATTTTTACATATACATGCAGCTCTGCTGGTCATCATGAACAAGCACTTATTGTCATGTGGATCATGAGCTAAGCATAGAAAGAAAGTGGGATGACCTAATTTTTGCATTGAGCACAGTATCTTGTATTTTATATTCAATTAACTTGAAAATTTCAATTTTCAGGTTAAAATATAAAGGTCACTAGGTTGTGCTAAATCACCAAAGCTTGGATACTAAAGACACAATGGGATAAATACAACATCCAAATCGCACTAGCTGCAATTTTAGTTGAGTTTTTCTTATAAATCTGACCGCATCATGCGTCTTATTTTGTTATCACAGATTTAACTGACCTCCATATTGCATTTGACTTAACTTTATACGAGCTCAATTTAACTTCCATGTAAGTAGTGTGTTTAGTGAAGCTTAACAATTCATATTAGCCGAGTTACTTACCTGTTATTTCCGAGGTTGTCAAAGTAAACAGCTACGGTAACATGCTTCGCTCCAGCAGTGAAGTTAAACGCAACTCTGCTAACAAGCTAACAGCTAACGTAGACGCGTCTTTAGCAGCTGCTGGGCTAACACGTTTCACGACAATTTATAGCGATTTACAGTCGTGTCAAAAGTTACATGCAAAAAACACAAAAACATACAGTTAACTATGAGGACACTTCTGTCTCACAGCCTAACATGCACAGCAACAACCCAACATCGTGAGGACACGAGTGTGCAGCGGGTTAGCGAGGCTCGTGGTAAACATGCCGGCAAACATTGGTTCCGCATCACCTCAGAACCTCTACAAATGAATCTTTAATAGGTCTGTAGTTCAGGGATTTAACATGGAATGATTACCTCAACAATTCTAAATATGCACACCAAAATACATCTTCTGCATTGCTTATTAAACAAATCATATCAGTAATTTCACATTTATTTGAGTACTAATGGATGAAGCATGATGTGTATTCTTTGGACACCACGTTTATTTCAAGATTGCGTCTTCACATGAACTCCAGGTACAGTTCTCCACAAGGATGTTTTCTCTCTCTCTGAGTAATACATGTGCATATAAAAGGCAGGGGGGAGTTTTGGATCTGTGTTTTAAAAAATAAAAAATAAAAATAAAATAAAGTTCTTGTCAATAAACATATTTGAGCTGAAACAATTAGCAGAAATAAGGTCATTCCTCAGTCAGCCGATCAACAGAAAAGCAGCAGCAAAGTTGATGATCAGTAGCTTAAGACATTTTGAAGTGCTAATCATTCACAAATGACAGCTTCTACGTGGGTGGGTTTGTTGTCTTTATAGTTTTATGTGTGAGTCAGTTGAATATTTTGGGGTTTTGGATCACTGGTTGAACAAAAAAGGTCATTTGTGACTTCATCTTGGGCTTTGACCAAATGATTAATCAAGAACATAACCTGCAGATTTATCTATAATGAAATAATCATTACAGCTGTGATAGTTATATTGAAATAGTTCAAAACAGATGTCAAAAATCCTGTTGTTGTCATTGGATGAAAGGATAAGGTTTTACAACATGAAACATGATTATTCTGAGGTCAAGTTGAAGGAAAACCAGCATGCAGTATCATCTAACATCATGATACAGGCAGCTACATTCAGTCATCTCGTCTCGGCAGCAAGTTTGTTTAGCTTGGCAATAAAACGCTTTTGACTACTGTCCAGGAGGGCGATGCCATTCTTCTGGAAGTCATATCCCAGTTTCTGCAGGTCTTTCAGTCGCCCTGCAATGTTCTGTGTGCTGTAGTCCAAAACCTTGGGTTTCCCCAGTATCTGCTGTATTGTTATTCCTCCTTCTAGGAGGCAATCTAACTTATTGCTCAGTGTTTCAGACCCAATGTAGAGAATGTTTGGGTAGCTGATAATCAGCTTTTTTACATCATCCTCATTACAGCCATGTGCAGTCAACCTTTGCTGAAGGCTGTTAAAGTTCTTCTTTAGATATTCATTGGAAAGGTCCACAATGTCTGCCCCATTGCCTTGAAGAAGAGCCAACAGTTCTGAATCATTCAACTTGAGAACAGATCTCAGGTTTTCTATGTTTACCTTGACTCTCTTAGTGCTTCTGATGAGAACATAGAGGTTTCTGGAAATGACAGTTTTTGCAAACTGCTCTGGGTCTTTCCCACCCAGCTCCACGCAGATATCTTCGAGAAACTCCACCATCTGTCTGTTGAGCTCTAAGCTGTTGGAGAATGTCCGCGGTGCTGTGGTCAGCATCCGATGAAGGTCTTTGCTGTTCAGTCCCAGTGAGATCAGAAAATCTATGTTCTTCTCCAGGCTCTCATTGTCACTGGTGCGGAAGAAAGATTCGGGAGAGCGATGCAGGATGGTCACAATTTCTGCATCCGTGCTGAAGATGTTTCTCCACAGCTTCCAGCGTTGTTCCAAGTGGTCAATCGAGCGGGTGATGGCACGGGGATAACGGGATATGATACTGGCAATGGATCTGCGGCTGGCACCTTTTTCTAGCAGAAACTCAGCAAGGCCATGCTCATTAGTAAAGGCTTTACGAAAGACCCCAGGCTGCCGCCGGCGTGCCATCTTCACATCAACTCCCATAACATTCAGATTCTCAAGTAGAGATTCATTCTCTGAGACAGCTGGTGGCTTTGGTTTATTTCTTGTTGTAGCACTGCAAAGCCTCCTAGGAAGGCAGGTTGATGCTAACTGTACTGGAACGAGCCCAAAGCTGCGCTGCACAATCACTGATCGATGGAGGCTGAGGAGGACCCTCACTCCAGGAACTGCTGCCATTTTTAATGAGGATGGCTACGATGTCACATCATGGTCATTTCAACTAAAAAAGAAAAACGCATGACATTATTAGCTGAATATTAATAGATGCATCTAGTCAGAGAAGCAAAACAAATGAGACTCAAGCTGAAGGCTGAACAGTTAATTGAAATATTATCAAAACCACAGCAAGGCCAAGTGCAAAAACCAGATCACAAATAGCATCATAAATGAATCACTGTGGTGCTACAGTGATGTTCTGACCTATAAATCACATTCCCCTGCCATAAGGAAACATGTTTGTTTGGCATACACAGCAGCAAAAATCACAGCATAATTTTTTATGCTTATCTGCTGTCACAGTTGGTTGTACCATACTTGGCTGTAGTTAATCAAATTATCATCACACATGGACAGAATTTTTAGCGTTGAAATCATAAATAAGGGTTGTTTTGGGAAGTGGCACATCAGATAACTAGTGACCTTCACTGTAAAATGAGAAACCAAACTATATCAGTATGCATTTATTAGCTCTCATGTTGACATAGCATATATCAGCATAACAGAATTCCTGAGATGCAGCTTTTTGATTTTTGTGTGTCACCTTAACATTTTCAGTGACCATCGCAATAATAAATGTCTGTACCCTGAACGCAACATACAGATTTAGGCTAACTATTAGCTCCACCTTTACATCAACTGTGAATTAAACTTTTAAAGCGGGGTAATGCTAAAACGAACGCATGCTAGTAATACTTGTTTAGTTAGTTAACACGTGTATTACGAGCTGTTAACTACATACACACAGCACATTGTAAACGTTTCATCCTCCGTTCAAACAGCAACTTTTTTTCGCCCCCCAAAAAATAAACGCAAAGTCCCGGTGAGCCGCACAGTCGTAGCAGTCGTACAGACTTTACGATGTAATATATGATCAATGTATCACTACTTTAAGCTTCAGTCTGTCTGTAAAAATATAAAAACTTACCGTATATCTACATTTGATTTCTCTCATGCTGGTGAGGCGACAGTTCAACCCAAAGCGGAAGTGTAAACTTGATGAATTCTCGCGAGATTTGGCAATGGAGAAAAATCCCACCTTGAACACTGTTACTCGTCAGCGCCATCAAGTGTTTTGGAGTAAGAAGCTGTTTCTAGGCTCATTTTCAACCACTAGATAGAAGCAAAGGGCTTTCATTTAGACTTTAGGATGCTGACAATATTATAAAGTAACTATAAAATAAAATAAAAAACCCAAACCCAGCTCTCTGCTCCACCTACCTCATGTGTAAAGACCAGCAACTGTATAACTATTTACACGTTATTTATTCCTTTATCATCAGAATCTGCTCAATTTGCACTAAACATTAGTTTGATTTTACACATATAGTTTCCCCCCTAATTTCACAAGTTCAAGTTCTTTTATGTTTTCTGAACATCATATCTCCGTTTCAGGCCTTCGATGCTGTGCTAGGATATCTCAGCTGCCAGGGAACGTTTGCACAGCATTGGCTAACATTAACTACAATTGCCAATATTTTATTTTTTTTTTTTAAAGAAAACATTCAAATCAAATGTTCAAAAACCCTTTAAGAATATAATGTTTCCACGGTGATAAAAAAAAGAAAAGGAAGGATGTTCTCATGTGAATGGAACACATCAAAGAATCTATAATCAGAATCCTTTAATGTCATCATACCAAAAAAAAGTACAACAAAATTGGGTGCAATCCCATTCAGTGCAAAGAACAACGATAAATTAAGAGACAAACTTTGCAAGATAAAAAAAGGACTTTTGTAGAGCCTGTAGATGTATATAAAATAACAAATAAGTGACAATAAGTATACAATGGATATAAAAATGTGAGTATTTACAATAGCAGCAAGGAACGGAGGTACCTGAGAAATGCTTGTGGTAGATTACACCTAAGTACATGTGACATATTGCAGACTGAGAGAACACTTGTCAGTAGATACAAAGGAATGGTTGTGGGAATGTAACGTATCAGTGTTTGTGGGAGTTCAGAGTGGTTATGGCTCTGAGGAAAAAACAGTTTTTTTAGTCTGTTGGTTTTTGCCCTGATGCACCTGTAGCGCCTGCCCGAGGGCAACAGGTCAAACGTATGGGACCCTCAATGTTCCACATTTTTAGAACGTGTTTTCCTCCCTTTAAGAAGAGCATTAGGGAACGTACATAAAGCTTGACTGGGATCATTCTCGTCAAATAAATTCCTTCATTAGTCAAATGAAAACAGATGGGCTGCAAGGTGGCGCAGTTGGTAGCACTGTTGCCGAAGGTTGCCGGTTCGCGTCCCGGTGAGGACACCTGGGATCGTTCTGCGTGGAGTCTCCATGTTCTCCCAGTGCAGTGTGGATTCTCTCCAGGTTCTCCGGCTTCCTCCCACAGTCCAAAAACATGTTGAGATTAATTTGTGATTCTAAATTTTCCATAGGTGTGAATGTCTCCCCTGCCTTCAACCTGAGTCAGCTGGGATGGACTCCAGCCCCCCCGCGACTCTATTGAGGATTGAGCGGTGTATAGATAATGGATGGATGGATGGATGTTTTTTTCAGGAACAATGTAAAATACGTGACCTCTGTGATTTAAGTGGTGACGATCCTTAATAAGTGCATTTCTGTTTTGCACGTGATAAAGTCAGTCACTTCTAAAGCCCTCAGAGTGTAATGAGATTTTTCAACAACGTTTTATGATACCTGGGAAGCTTCAATTGGACAATAACAGCACTATATTACGGAGTATAGCACAGGCATTAATAGTTAATTTTGTCTCAGCTACAGCTAATGCTCCTGTAGCCCCATGAGACACAGTCAGTATTGACCATGTGTTGTGGCTCACAGCCTGGCACTGACAGACCTACTGACCCATCGCCTCTCTTAACTGATGAGTCCCACCACTTATGAATATTTTAACATCGCACAGTGATATCTTCATTATGGAAATGAGCTTTCACTCTGCTGCTCAGACACTGAAGCGACTGATGTTTTAGTCACAACAGCTTCTTGCTTGATAGGCTGGACACAGTCTCAATTATATTTTGTCTCAGTCATCAACCGGTCACAGTCAAATTTCCATTTACACACCCAGATCCATTTTTCTCCAACTCGTTCAAACCACTTTGTCCCGCATTTGCATAATGATGTGACAGGGACCCTTATGGTCCGCAGTGCTGCCTGTTTCAATCATTTGTAATGCCAGACAAACGATGAGCAAAGAACTGTGCGAGACGCAGCAAAGGAGGCTGCAGCTGAATACGATCCTCCTAATTTTCTCCGTCTAAAGCGGAGACAGTCCACACATGTTGCTGTTTTTGTGCCTATTTATTCGATTTATTATTCATGACCTGTTGCAGTGTAACACATCTGCTTCCTAAGTTCTGTATCAAGCTTAACATTTGGCTTTTGCTTCAAGGGAATATAAGACACAGCTATTTATCAAACAGAGAAAAATAGAGCTTGCATCTTTGGGTAACACACACACACAAAACCAAAAGAACAAAATGATAAACGACATGCACTTCTCTGTACCCTGAAATATGAAACTTATTTTGAGAAATTATAGAAATTATACAAGCCCGTGATGTGATGTTGAAAATGTTTATTTGTCGATGATTTACTTGTCATACAGGCCTTCTCTAAGAGATTTCAACATTTCATTTTCGGACCCTGTATACATTTCTATACCCTAATGTCTTAGAAACTGTTTTAGATGTTGATAAATTCATGGACAGGAATGGAGTGACAGCATTTTGTTTAAAGATGGGCAAACAGTGGGTAAAACTGAGGATGTAAAATGTGTTGTTTTGTGGGTTTAGGGGTCTTAACAAGCTGCACAGTTTAAATTATACAAACACACATGTATTACACAAGCAGTGTAATTTTAATTTGAAATTTTTCAAATAAGTTTTAGACCAGCTTTTTGAGAAATAGCAGAAATTCTACAAGCCTTAGACATATGTGAAAAATGTTTGTTTTCCTTCTCTTACAGCCTTTCGCCAAGTAATCTTAACATTTCATTTTCACAAAGACAATCAGTCCCTGCTATTATCTGTGCTACACAATATTTCAAACAGTTTTTAAACAGTTTTAGATGTTAATTCAAATTTATAGTGGGCACGAGTGTTTCTGACATTTTTTGTCCAACACATTGACCTCAGTGAGAGTTAGATTTACAATATTGTAGGACTTTTCTTTTAAACTGCATCACTATTGAGTATCTCTCCTCACTCTGAGTCGTCCTTTAATAAAAAGCTAAACGTTTTTATGATATGAGCTGTAATATCTGTTATTTTTCTCGCTCTGCTGACCCTCCTGAAACTGCTGGAATATGTGTGCTGTTGTGTTTTCAGCATTAAATGGATGCGTTTTGTTGTCGTGGTCTGCTTCATAAAGTTGCTCTGGTAACTGCAGACACCGTACTCCTCGAGTGAATCAATAATTCAGAAACTGTCGAAACTTTCAAATGCTCAGTGGCTCCTGTTGACGCTGTTGCACAAACAGCTCCGCTCGCAGGTGGGACCCCGTTTGGCTAGAAATGTCCAAAAGGAGATGGGTGGAATTCAAAATCTGCCAGACTATCAGCTGTTCGGCTCCCGTCAGCCGAAGACACAGACCATCTTCTCCTGCTGCTGCTGCAGGTATGTGGCAAATCAACAATTTAAGAATAGAATAGAGACTTTTAGATTTTCTTCTGTGCTTTATGAAAATCATATTTTATACAAACCATATTAACCACACGTGACAGGACTTTAGTGAAAAGATGCTTGAACATTAGGCCTGTGGGTAAAATTGAGGACATAAATTTTGTGGTTTCTGTGAATTTGGAGATTTAAACAACCTGCAGTGTTTAAATTCTAAATAACTATATTACACAGGCACAAAGAAAATGTAACAGCCTGATAAAGTAAGCGAACTAAATGTGAAATATTAAAAACAATATATTCGCTGGGTGTGAAAAATGTCGTACATCTGCAGGCTGGGGCTGCACTAAGGGTCTTTGGAGTTTTGATAAAACAAAAATCAGGTTTATTAGGGACATCAATGAAGAGAAATGGAACCAAAAGTAAGCTCCACATTTATAAAATGCAGTTTTATGGCCTAGAATGTAAAAAAAAAGCCTCCCTCCACTCGTTGAATTGCTTCTTCCAATATTTCCCTGATAAAAGAATGAATGTGAAAGATAATGAACCGGTTTGGCTGCTGTATTCTGCAGAAAATGTCAGACAACACAGAAGCAAAACCTTCAGTTTACAAAGAACATGGTGTTTTAATTCAATGCAAACTATTCATAGACCAAAGATCAGTTCCACGCGGAGTCTGTAAGTAAAATATTGTCCATCCTTTCCTTTATCTCCACCATCTGTCCTAGAAAGCGATGCCGGCCTCTCGTGTTACCTGCGGTCGCATTCAGCCGACACAGCTCAAATGTTTCCTCTTTAAAGCGGTCTGTTGCCGTATTGCTGCTCAGAATAGCCCAATCAAACGTCAGGCTGTAAAATATGAGGCGATGGCTGCAGCCTTTATAAGCAGAAAACAGCTTTGACATGAAAATATTTGGTGTTGAAAAAGAAAACTCTTAACTGGGACAGCTCTGGCAACCTCTCCTCCAGTTACCATAGAAACTGAGCAGGCGTTTTCAGCAGCATTCAGACTGCATGTAATACAGTCACATTTATGACATTGTTGTTAGATGTGTTGATATTAGCGATGAATATTATAAAAACTTAATCATCGTAACAAAATTACCGCACCAGACTACACTAAAGGATTCTGTAAAGTCTATAATGCTTCTGCAAATTCAGATTTTCAAATGTGAGTTGAGGAAAAAACAAAGTAAATTCAAAATAAGAGTCATGTGTTGTATTTGTTTAGCCCATCAACATCTGTTTGATCATTAGGCCACAGTGATGGATTGAAATTAAATACATTTACTCAAGTACTGTATTTAAATACTCTTTGTACGGATGGAGATACGTGCATGTCCACTTGATGCCACTTTATTCCTATAATGAAAAAAGATAGTTTAATTTGTCTTGTATTG